TTTAATTCGGGATTTATGAAGTTATTTTAAAAAGAATAACTCAATTCTGAAGGGCATCCACGTTGATACTCAGTACCGAGATGATAATACGTTTAAATCATATCCCTAGGAAGATTCAGAGCTTCTTTCTGATGCACACCGATATAGACATTTGCTATTTCGAATAATATGTTCAAAATTCACACTAACAAAGTCTCTATTCTAGACATAAGATAATTGAATTGTTGAACTTTGGGTTAATGTCACTTTAATCAATTCGCCTTGAATCAAGACAGTTTTTAGGATTAAGAGTTAAGGTATTTCCATTTACTTTCTTCGTATATATAAATATATATATGTGTGTGTGTGTGTGTGTGTGTGTGTGTGTGTGTGTGTGTATATATATATATATATATATATATATATATATATATATATATATATATATATATATATATATATATATATATATGCATATATATATATATATATATATATATATATATATATATATATATATATATATATATACATATATATATATATATATATATATATATATATATATATATATATATATATATATATATATGCATATATATATATATATATATATATATATATATATATATATATATATATATATATATATTTCTCATTGTCATTTTCTGTCTTCCCTTTTGTCTTCATTATTATTCTTTCATTCAGTGGTCGGGATAAATTCCTCATTACATAGACCGAGATCCTAAAAAAAAGTATTTATGAATATCCTCTCAATGCTTAGTATAAATAACTGCTAACAGGTTATGATCTCCGTATTTTATCTAAACTTAATTGTCGCCGGGAGTTTAGTAATGAAATATAATGGTACATTTGAAAGCTAATTATCAGACCAATGAAATGGAACATCAGAATTCTCCAACCGGCCATGGAGAGGAACAGCTGATGAGTCATTAGGGACGTCATGCACAAAGTTTGGATTTATTAGAGCCATGAGAAAGGTGACTCTCAGGTCCCTCCTTTGCAACGTGCATATAGAATTCAATGCGCTAAAGCAAGTATAAGAAAAAACATTGTACCCCAAAGTAAACCATAATGCTAAGATAATGCTTGAATGCTCACATATTATAATAATATGATTCATAACTACGTTTTTTAAGAAGTTTCATGATGGTACTTCTACCCATAGGTAGAATTTAAACGTAAATTTGACTGTAAAACATTCAGTATATTACTTTAGAATGATTAAATTTCGCCAAATTTCTTCAAAGAGGTTGATAAATATTTTCCATTAACCAAGCCAAACTTTATCTAAATCCTTTCCACAGGAAATAAACCTGCTAGTAGAAAAGTTCACCCTGCCGATAATTCTCCACGTTATATATTTCTTCCCTTTTACTCCGTACTTCGAGATAACTCAGCCTTCCTTCTTCTTATTGGCATTAATGCCTCCTTTACTTCTTCTCATCCTTATTCCCCATTCACCCTTTTTTTCTCCACACGACGTGATTGATGCCTGAAGCTTCCCGACGTGTTCCCCGACAGGCGAGGACGCGCGCACGACCGCCATGACCTTCACGGGCGGCAGTGCTCTAACTCTTCTCGAATCTCTCGACGCCCCCGGCAGAAACGGAGGTCAAGGTGGAGCTGCAGGAGGAGGTGGGTGGGTGGGTGGGTGGGTGGGTGGGTGGGTGGGTGGGTGGGTGGGTGGGTGGGTGGGTGGGTGGGTGGGTGGGTGGGTGGGTGGGTGGGTGGGTGGGTGGGTGGGTGGGTGGGTGGGTGGGTGGGTGGGTGGGTGGGTGGGTGGGTGGGTGGGTGGGTGGGTGGGTGGGTGGGTGGGTGGGTGGGTGGGTGGGTGGGTGGGTGGGTGGGTGGGTGGGTGGGTGGGTGGGTGGGTGGGTGGGTGGGTGGGTGGGTGGGTGGGTGGGTGGGTGGGTGGGTGGGTGGGTGGGTGGGTGGGTGGGTGGGTGGGTGGGTGGGTGGGTGGGTGGGTGGGTGGGTGGGTGGGTGGGTGGGTGGGTGGGTGGGTGGGTGGGTGGGTGGGTGGGTGGGTGGGTGGGTGGGTGGGTGGGTGGGTGGGTGGGTGGGTGGGTGGGTGGGTGGGTGGGTGGGTGGGTGGGTGGGTGGGTGGGTGGGTGGGTGGGTGGGTGGGTGGGTGGGTGGGTGGGTGGGTGGGTGGGTGGGTGGGTGGGTGGGTGGGTGGGTGGGTGGGTGGGTGGGTGGGTGGGTGGGTGGGTGGGTGGGTGGGTGGGTGGGTGGGTGGGTGGGTGGGTGGGTGGGTGGGTGGGTGGGTGGGTGGGTGGGTGGGTGGGTGGGTGGGTGGGTGGGTGGGTGGGTGGGTGGGTGGGTGGGTGGGTGGGTGGGTGGGTGGGTGGGTGGGTGGGTGGGTGGGTGGGTGGGTGGGTGGGTGGGTGGGTGGGTGGGTGGGTGGGTGGGTGGGTGGGTGGGTGGGTGGGTGGGTGGGTGGGTGGGTGGGTGGGTGGGTGGGTGGGTGGGTGGGTGGGTGGGTGGGTGGGTGGGT